CATCAAGTTGGTGGTGACATGCAACCATCTCATCCTCTGCACTCCTCCCGCCCTCAATCTTTCCCAGCATCAGGGTCTTCTCCAACGAGTCACTTTTTTGCATCAGGTGGCCAAAGTATTGGAGCTTCAGCTTCAACATCAGTCCTTCCAATATTCAGGGCTGGTTTCCTTTAGGATTGACTGGTTTCATCTCACTGCAGTTGAAGGGACTTTCAAGAGTCTTCTCCAACACCACAGTTCAAAAGCATCAATTCTTTGACTCTCAGTCCTTTTTATCATCCAACTCTCCTATTCATATATGACTACTGGAAAAACCATAGCTTTCACTAGATGAAACTTTGTCTGTAAAGAAATGTCTCTGCTTTTTAATATGCTGTCTAGGACAGTCATAAATTTTCAGTCAGGAGGAAGCGCCTTTTAATTTCACAGCTGCAGTCACCATCTGCAGTGACTTTGGAGCCCAAGAAAATGAAGTCTCTCACTGCTTCCTCTGTTTTCCCATCTATTTGCCATGAAGTGATGGGACCAGATGCCATGATCTTCACGTTTTGAACATTGAGTTTTCAGCCAGCTCTCTCCTTCTCCTCTTTCACTTTCATCAAAGGCTCTTCAGTTCTTCCTGGCTTTCTGCCATAAGGGTGGTGTCATCTGCATATCTGAGGTCTTGGTATGTCTCCTGACAATGTTGATCCCAGCTTGTGACACAGAAATAAACAGGTTTAATTCTCAATGCATTCCTTAATCTCAGCATGCAGCTATGAAAAGAGAAGACCCGGAAACAACAGAGAGGAGTACCAGCACACACATCACCAAGTCGGGTTCCCGGCCGACATCCAGACTCCAACATCCCTGTGAAATCCCGAATGAGGTCCGTCTGGACCCCCAGCGAGGAAAGGATCCCGGGCTCTGCATCCACCCCAAGGGTGAGACTTCACACTGGGGTTATGGGGGCTCCCATTTATAATCCCAGACTGCACAATGATATCATCGTCAGCTCTGTGAAATAAACGCAGCTCCGGTTTATTTCTTGAACTGTTACAATGATGTTTGTTTCACATTGTGAGCCAGAAGCTTCCTTAGACTGGGGCCTAACATCAGGAGCTAAGAAATCCCAAGACCCACTCGCTTTCATATCTCAAGTGCCCCTTGACTTGCTGGTAATGATAATCATCCCTGCAGACAGGTATGAGGTACAGGCAGGGTCCAGGGCCTGAAGTCGGTCAGAGGTATGCTGCCCTTTGTCTGAAGTCTGAACCAAGCTACCTCCACTTCAATTTCCCAAACGTGTCAATCTCGGGAGATCGTGGAAGACAGGGAGTACAGATGTGGGGAAGAGTGTGAGTGGGATCACACAGGACTTGTCCTTAGTGCCTGGTGTATTTCACTTGGCTTCATATCCTCAAGGGTCACCCATGTTAGAGCCTATGTCACGCTTACCTTCCTCTTTTAAAGGCTGGATGCGTCTCCATTGTGTGTAGAGACCACACTCTGTTACCATTTATCTCGGCACAGACATTGGGAGGCTTGCACTCTTGGCTGTTGTGAATAATGCTGCTACAAACACGGGGCTGCAAGTATGTGTCTGAGACCCTGCTCTTAATTCTTCTGGGGACACACCCAGAAGTGGAACTGTGCCTCATGCGGTACTTCTGTGTCAAGTATTTGAGGACATGGCATATGTTTCCAGACCCATTTTCCTAAGCACATGGATCATCATGGGATCATTCCTCCAGTTCCCCAGTGGATGGCAAAGCGCTTGGCTCTGCTGTTTGGAGATCCCTGAAGCCGGGGAAGGGCCGTCTGTGCCTCTGGGGGCACCTGGGGACAGAAGCAGGGCTGGGTGGGGAAGATGGGGATGGGGCTGCGACTGTGTCAGCCAGCACCTCTGCTGCTCGAGGCTTTTATTTAACGTGCTTTGCTCAGTCGTTAATTTGTGTCCAACTCTGCGGCCCCATGGACTGTAGCCCACCAGGCTCCTCTGTCCACAGGGTTTCCCAGGCAAGAATACTGGAGGGGTAGCCATTTCCTCCTCCAGGGATCTTCCCGAGCCAGGGATCAAACCATCCTCTGCTGCATTGGCAGGCAGACTCTTCACCTGGGAAGCCGACACGGACACTGAGGGTGAGCCCAAGGCCAGAGGGACACTGACACGGGGACGCCGGCTCGGAAGAGGAAGATGACTCTTCTTCCCAGCAGCGGGGAACAGGTCACCTGCACCTGTGACCTCAGATGGCCAAGGAATGTTGCACGCAGAGGCAGAGCGAGCTGCTAGGAGCCGTCAGCATGCTCCTTCCGGGAGGCTGTGAGTGAGGAGTGGAGTTACAGGGCTGGGCAGTGCAGGCACCATTTTCAGGGGGACTTCTGAGATTTGAACACAGTGAGAAGATGGGACAGGGGAGGCTGTGCCCTGCTGCAGGAGGTGGGGGAAGGGAGGATTTCTGTGCAGCCTGAGTCACAGGCCTCTGGGGCAAAGCACCTCTTCCTTTGGGGACCTCAGTCATTTTCAACTGCCTAGACCGGGCCCACCCACATGCTGGGGGCCAGACGCCTTACTCAGAGTTGACCCTTTTAATCCTCGTCTCCTGTAAAAACTACCTTCACGGTAACATCTCGATTGGTGTTAGCCCAATTAACTGGACCTCTGGCCAAGTAGGTGACTCAAAATTACCTGTCAAGCTGGGCTACCTCATTTTACCAATAGTCATGTATGGATGTGAGAGTTGGACCATAAAGAAAGCTGAGCACCGAACAATTGATGCTTTTGAACTGTGGAGTTGGAGAGTCCCTTGGACAGCAAGGAGTTCCAACCAGTCCCATCTTAAAGGAGATCAGTCCTGAATGTTCATTAGAAGGACTGATGCTGAAGCTGAAACTCCAATACTTTGGCCACTGATGGGAAGAGCTGACTCACTGGAAAAGACCCTGATGCTGGGAAAGATTGAAGGCAGGAGGAGAAGGTGCGGCAGAGGATGCGATGCTTGGACAGCATCACCAACTCAATGGACATGAGTTTAAGTAAGCTTCAGGTTTTGTTGATGGACAGGGAGGCCTGGCATGCTGGAGTCCATGGGCTTGCAAAGTGTCAGACATGACTGAGCAACTGAACTAGGCTATATGTTTCTCTCATGGAAACACATGCTGTGTGCAGTTGAAAAGCCAACTATGGAAATATCCTGAGCAAAATGTGTATATATTTTAATGTGAAAAGACTGGATTGAGAAGATCTTTCATTTCTCAGGATTTCGTTGGGCTTACCTGGTACTCGGCATCTGAAAAAAAGACTATTTTTCTCAATAAAGAATACCGTAGTCCACAGCACGACTGGCTCCATCACTTGCAGGGTCTGGTGCAAAGTGAAAATGCAGGACCCTCTGCTCAAAAGCGATTAAGAATCTGAAGACAATGAAGGCAGAGCATGAGCCGGGGGTCCTTCTGGGGGCCCCAGGGAGGCCCACCAGCCACACCCCCTTGAGGCCAGAGCTGGTCACAGAGAAGATCACCAGGGAGGCCGGTGAGTGACGGTGAGAGTGGCTCGGGCACGTCCGCTCCCTGCACCCTGGTGGTCCGTGGGACCCTCCAGGCCAGAATCCTGGAGGGGGAGCCAGGAGGCCAGAGCTGGTCACAGAGAAGATCACCAGGGAGGCCGGTGAGTGACGGTGAGAGTGGCTCGGGCACGTCCGCTCCCTGCACCCTGGTGGTCCGTGGGACCCTCCAGGCCAGAATCCTGGAGGGGGAGCCAGGATCTCCAGGGACCTTCCCAACCGAGGGATCGAAGCCAGGTCTCCCGCACCCCAGGTCTGAGGCACCAGGGAAGGACTATGCCGAGGACAGGAATTCCAAGTTATTGATAACAAACACATGGGAGATTATAAGGCAATTCTCTGTAAAAATTTTAATAAGGTCATTTTGAAAAATACAGTAGTGAGGAAAATGCCAGTGACGTTTAACGCAGCAGGTCCAGCTCAGAAAGAGACGGGCAGAGGCCGAGCTGTGTGACAGGGTCTGTAACACACGGGAACCCTGCGTCCATCGTCACAGCTTCCTGCTGACAGCATGATGGAGTCGAAGGACAGACGCCTCGGACCCTGGACGGACAGACGGCTCACTTCAGGTGACAGTGGGCACAGGCTGGGGGGAGGGGGGCGCACTGACGCCGCTGGGCCGCCCGCCCACTGCGCAGGGCAGCGTCTCCACAGCCTGTCTCTCCACGAGGCTCAGGCGCTGACGTGGGCACGGCAGAGACAGCGGACCAGAGACAGGCTGAGAATGTGGGTCACGCCATTAGGTTAGAGGGAGCCCAGCTCCGGATGACGCCGCCGGGAGGCCAGTGGATGCCTTACTACTCTCCACCTGAACCTCAGCATCGGCTGGGTGCTGGCCCCACGTCTCAGCAGGGAGCACGGGCGGCTGCAGAAACCTTCGTGCAGTTCAGTCGCTCAGTCGTGTCCGACTAGTGCAACCCCACGGACTGCAGCACGCCAGGCCTCCCTGTCTATCACCAACTCCCGGAGTTACTTAGACTCATGTCCATTGAGTCAATGATGGCATCCAATCATCTCATCCTCTGTTGCCACTTCTCCTCTTGTCTTCAATCTTTCCCAACATCGAGGTCTTTCAAAATTAATCAGCTCTTCGCATCAGGTGTACAAAGCACTGGAGCTTCAGCTTCAGCATCAGTCCTTCCAATGAACAGTCAGGACTGATTTCTTTTGGGATGCACTGGTTGAAACCTTAGCCGCCTCTTTTTCTCCAGTACCAGCGGCAGGATGGGAAGTCACCCGGCATGCATCCATGATGTGGTCTGAAGGCCTCCTCATGAACAGGAACTGTCTGCTCATCACTGACCCCTGGGGGCAACTGAACATGCTCAGGGAGTGTGGACGGTCAAGCACTCGAACAGGCCTCTGACCACAGACCCTCCAATGCAGACACGGGCCCGGGGACAGACTTCTCCCGGTCTGGGTCACGGCTGTCCTCTCTTCTGCTGGTTTCTAGAGGGCTCAGGTTCGGGGGTCTCTGAGGCCTGCTTCCCCTCCCTGCGGCTGCTGTAGCCTCTGCTTCGCTTTGTTCTCAGGAGCAAGTACACTGTGCAGAGGAGACAGGGAAGTCCCGCTCATCCTTCCAGGCCCGGAGCAGACAGCGCTCTCCCCGAGGGCCTGGACGGGGTGGGCGGAGGGCAGACCCAGAGAGCAGGCAGCCAGTGCTCCCTGCCAGCGTGACCACTGAGCACCCGCCTCCGATGGCAGCTGCAGCTCCGAGAAGGCGCGGTACATGAGCGCACATGGGCACACAAACACACACATACACAGGCGGTCTCCATCAGCCCTTTATTTGTGGACCTTCACCAAGGTCACTGGGGTTTCAGCTCTTCCAGACATTGGGGAGAGCGGTGAGGATCACCGGGGTGCCTCCAGCACCCTGTCACGGCGAGCAGAAGCGGCCGCAGAACAGGATGGCCCCGGTCTTGCCGTGCTGGATGAAGAAGAGGAAGGGCCGGTCGGCACAGAACCTGGGCACGATCCGCAGGCAGTACATCACGACCGCAGCCCCTGTAGCGGCCGCGGCCTCCGTGCCCTCCTCGGTGACCTCCACGAAGGACTTGTGCACGACCTTGGACATGTGCAGGCCTCGCCCGGACGACATCCCGGTGAAGTCGGCGCGGGCCGCGTCGAAGGCGTCGGTCATGCCCAGCTCTCGGAGGACGCCCTCCATGTCGTAACTCTCATCCAACGTGAACCGGGGCAGGAACACCTCCACCTCCTTATCGGCCATCACATCTGGCTTCGTCCAGGCGATGAACTTCTCATAGGTCAGGGCCTCCTCCACCTGGAGGAGAAGGTAGAAGATCTCAGGGTCTGCAGCAGCGCTGCCCCGGGGGCCATCTGCTGTGACCCACACTCTGCACCCTGTGGGCCTGGGGCGGACTGCCGGCTGCACACGAGTTCCCGGAGCCCAGTGACTGGCAGGGATCAAGACAAGACCCTGGACCCTGGGGCCAAGGATGCCCGGTTACCGTGTTCAAGTCAGTGCTTTCACTGGGCAGCAGGATGACCATGTTCATCTCTTGGCCGACATAGGGAAGCACCAGAATCTGGGTGCTTATCTCTCCAATGTAGGTCATTTTAAAGGTGGACTTCTTGAACATCATTTGCACAGGTTTCTCCATGTTCTATAAAGGAAATGGATAAACCCTAAGTGGAAATGAGATGCGTGGACACTCCGAATGAGTCATCAGAGCCGGCGACCTGCGCACACACTCTGTCTTGTCTTCCAAACCCACCCCAGCTCCGTGTCGTCAGCTATCTGCACAGCTCCAGCTCCCACCCCGGGTTCCCAGCGCTCAAGCCTCAGGCTTCCGTTCTCCTGCTGACCCAGGAGGGCTCTGCACTGACATTCCCAGCAGGACCTCTCCCCGGCTCCTGCCTACCTGACATCTGCATCTGGACGCAAAGGAGCCTCCATGTCGCCTCCCACACTGGCGGCTTGTGTTCCCCCCCACACCTGCTCCATCTATACTTTCCCATCTCTGCTCATGGTGACACCACTCATCCCGCAGTCAAACCCTGGAGTGTCCTGGGCCCCTGTCCCTCCCACCCCTCAGCTCACCCATGAAGAAACCATGTTGGCTCTATTTTAACGACAACAGGGCTTCTCTATGGCTCAGGGGTAAATAATCCGCCTTCCAATGCAGGAGACACAGGCTCCATCCCTGGTCTGGGAAGAACCCGCAGCCCACGGGCTTCTAAGCCCTCAGGCCACAGCTACTGAGCCTGGGCTGAGAGCCTGGGACCGCAGATCCTGAGGTCACGGGCCTGGAGCGAGAGCTCAGCCCCAAGAGAGGCGCCAGCAGGAGGAGCCCGGGCACGGAGCCCAGAGGGCCTCCGCCACGGCAGCTGCAGGAGAGGCTGTGGCCAGGGGACCCGGCACGGCCGCAAATAAACACATGCAATTAATGAAAAATACAATACAGTCTGACTTGTGCTTCCTACCCCACCACGCTCAGCCAAGCCTGGGTCATCAGGAAGAATTCCAAGTAACCTCCCTGGTCCTGCACGCGGGCCCGAGGGGCTCTGGGAGAGCAGAGCCCCTGTGAGAGGCCCCGGGCTCTGCGAGAGCTCAGAGGAGGGACACAGGAGCCAGGAACCCGGGCTGGGGAGACCGCTAGGGAGGCTTCGGGACGGCCCTGCAGAGAAAGGCGTCTGTGCTGGTAACTGCTGATGGGATGGGGCGGACGGTAGGATCCAGGCCACGGAGCTTCATAGCCATGGTCTCGAGTTTGACCTGGATCTCAGGAGTTCTAGGAGGCCCAGAGACCTGCGAGCTGCTCCGTGGGATGTGTGATACAAGACGGAACACCCGCGGCACGGACCCCCCGATGATACAGCAGAGCAGGAGCAGGGGGAGGAAGCCAGGGTCTGCCGGGATCCACTTCTGGGCCGCCACGGCCACGAGAGGCACGGGTCCTTGAGGTCAGCTTGCTCGCACGCTCCGTAAACGAACGGGACCCCCGGGACCGTTTCCAGGAACCTCCTTCTCTTTATGAAACATTCTTGTTCACCTTGCTGACTTTGAATGGCCTTTCCACGGTGTGCTGTTTGTTAAATTGTTCAGCCCAGTCTCCTTTGAAGTAGACGGCATTCACGAGAACCAGACGAGTCATGGGGTCAACTGAATTTGCAGCGAGCAAGTCTCTAATTTTACCTGCAAAGCAGAATTAAAGAGCCAGTGAGCAAGCAAGGCTTCATGGGGGAGGTGCTGGGCACAGTATTTACTGGCCCGTCCCCTGGAGGAGTCAGGCACTGACCAGAGGGCTCACTGTCCCCCAGACAGCCATGGACAGCGAGTTGTCTGCTCACTCGCTAAGCTGTGTGCGACACTCTGTGACCCCATGGGCTGCAGCCCACCAGGCTCCTGCGTCCATCGGATTCCCCAGGCAAGAACTGGACCAGGTGGCTATTTCCTTGTCCAGGGCATCTTTCTGACCCAGGGTTCGAACCCTACTCTCCTGCATTGGCAGGTGGATTCTTTACGATCGGACCCACCAGGGAAACCCGTACAGGCAGCCTGGCCCCTAAAGCAAAATCAGCGACTGAAACCTTAAAATCTCTGCTCACAAAGATATCATTAGTTGCATAAAACATATATAATGAAGAAATCATAAGAGCAGGATAATTCACAGTGACAGAAAAAGGAATGTTCAGGCTACAACATAAGGGGACTGTCCTGAATGGGAGAGGTCGAAGCCCATGTGGAGAGCACGAGAATGAAGAACCACAGGTGGACCGAGGCTTGACCGAGTGACCTGCAGTGATGCTCAGCGACCCGCAGAGCATGAGGTCCGCTGGACAGGCAGGGAGGTGGAGCCCGCATCCAGAGTTTCCCTTCCGCCCTGTGTGAAAGGCAGACTATATGAACATTAACTGCACCAGCAAAAAATCAAAGTGTGTTTGCTCTGGAAGAGGTGCACCAAATACTGATGAGGAGGGGGGAAAGCTAGAGAAATTGATTCCTGATTATATTTCAGAGTGCATTTTGAAAGTTACAGTTATTAACAGAAAAAAGTCATTCCTGTTTACATTTGCTGGTCTTGGGAAGGAACTGATGGGTAATGAGACTGATTCAAATACTATGCAATCAGAAGTACTGACATGCCCTCACCTTCTGTCTTCTCGGCTACCCAGGTGTTTATGTGCTTCCTGGATTCCTCCGTAGCGCTGACAAAGTCCAGCTCTTCCATCTCTGCTTGGTAGAATATGCGGCAGGCATCTTTGAAAGACTAGGAGAGACGGAGTGACAGAATCACATGGCTACAGAAACAGACCACGCCAACAGCTCACTTCTTCACGGCGCCAAACCTCAACACTGATCATTTGAAGGTTCCTTGTGGAATGTACAAATGAATGTGAGAAATTAACCTTCAATCCAGTTTCTCAGTTTTCAGCTAACTTGAATAAATGGCAGTAAAATCACAGGCTTCCCAGGTGGCACAGTGGTAAAGAATCCGCCTGCCAATGTTGGAGACGAGGGTTTGATCTCTGCATCGGGAAGATCCTCTGGAGAAGGAAATGGAAACCGACTCCACTAATCTTGCCTGGACAATCCAATGGACAGAGGAGCCTGGTGGGCTACAGCGCATGGGGTCGCAAAGAGTCAGACACAACTTAGCGACTAAACCACAGCAACCCAACCATTCGAGAGAGGCCATGTGGCAACAGTGCCGGCAGCACAGGTTCCGGGCTTCACCCCTGTGTGACCCTGGGAAGGCTGCTGCGTCTCTCTGGCTTCTTTGCCCCCTGGCAGCACGGACGCAGCAGTAGCTACGTCTCAGAGGTGCTCTGCGGACCAGGAGAGCCTGGCTCCGTCCGTGTCACGTGGCTGAGCTCTCGGCTCACCATGGACCCTCTATCTCGTGGTCCAGGTGCCTCATTTCATAGAACGCTCACATCATTCAGGCTCTGCCAGCCTACTGCTCCACTTCTTCATCGGGGCTTTGGAAAAAGATGGCAGTCTCTCAGTCTAAGGAAATAGTCAGGAAGCAAAGTGGTCACCAGCAAGTCGATACCTCATCAGACCCTTGGTGATTTCAAGAGCTTTTAAGCACATCTGAAAACAAGAGCCTGCCTCTTAAATTACTGCTTAGTAAGTAATGACAAGTCAAAAAGCAAACTAAAGGAATATCTAATTATACACTGCGATTGGTAGCTGGATACTTGGAATTCTCAAACACTATGAAATAACTGACAAATATTTATAATCTTTTGATTTTACATTCCATATCATAATAACATTTTAAATATCAATGCTTTTCTTCAAATATCCAATAGAAAAGGAAGAAAGTTAAGGAAAACTAGCCCATTCTTTGTGTTTATTGGAAATTTTGCTTTTCTGTATATCTAAGGCTCATACAAAGCTTACAGTAACAGGAGAAGGAAACGGTACCCCACTCCAGTGTTTTCGCTTGGAAAAGCGCCCGGACATAGGAGCCTCACGGGCTGCAGTCCACGGGGTTACACGCCTGAGCATGCGTACATGAGGGTGGAGGGAGATGTGTTGGTGGCAATAAACTGGTAGAACTAAAAAAAAAGTGACCATAAACTATCATGTAGCTATGACTGATAAAAGCAAGTAAACCAGGTTGTAAAAAAATGCACACTGTGCTGCACAAACCTTACAGATGTTTGACCTCATGCTGACGACATGCACTTTACACCACCTGTTTTAAGACAGTTAACTTAGAGTCTGAAACAAGTGTGAAAATTAAGGAAAAGAAATCACATAACAGAACAAGATCATTATGTTAAAC